AGATTTTTTTTTTTGAAACAAGCTAAAAGTTAGTAACCAAATTTCAATTGCTTTTTAAAAATATCAAAAAAAAAATATTCCAAAGTAATCAAAACTATTATACATTATGATATACATTATAATTTAGTACACAGTATGTATTCAGATGTATGTATGTATATTAGTACAAGTGTATGTGTACATAAATTTTGTGCTCACAGAAATATGGTTTCGTTAAGTTTGATTTAATTTTCCAAAGCGCCATCTAGATCATATTTAGTGCCATTTGGGGCCAACAGACGAGAAGAAGCAGGGTATACGGTGTATCCTGCAATCGCGCAAACGTTGGTCGTTTTTTATTTTTTCATTAAAAAAAAAGAAAAGCAAAAAAAAAATTAAAGTTATATATTAATATCTATAAAAAAAATCCTTTAAAATTAACATAAGCAAAATAAGAATATTATTAAAAAAAAAAAAGATTTTTAAATAAAAAAAAAGAAATAGATTTAAAATAATTGAAAAGTATGGAATGAAAATTTCAAAGGAAAAAAAAAGATAAAAGATTGAAGTTAAAAATTTTTTTATTAAAACCATTAAAAAGTTCTATGTTTTTTTTTGTTTTTAAAAAGATGGTGTAAGAATTTTTGAATAAAAAAGGAGCACAAAAATTAAAAAGAATAGAAAATACAATTTTTTTTTCTCTATAAAATTTTTTTTTTTATCTTTTCGCTATTTGTTTGAAAACCCTTCCTTAAAGAAAGACTTTTCTGTGCAAAAAAAAAAAAGTTTTTTTTTTTTTTCTCGAAGCAAAAGTAGCAAAGAGAAGAAAAAAAAATTAATATTTTAAATTTCTTTCTTTTGCTTTAGAAATTTCAATTTTGAAGAAATTCTTTTTTTTTTTTGCTGTCCTGTCATATTTTACATACTTTTAAGGTGCATAATTTTTTTTACAGCTTGTAATTTTAATAATTAATAAAATAATTCATATAATCAACGAATGTGTATATAATATGAAACGAACGAATCTACATATATATATCTATGCATAAAAATATTTCTTATAGAAAATATAGGTATATATATATATGTGTATGTAAATAATATATGATAATATTATGTATGTACATGGAACAAGGATAATCACAAATGGTTGACGGATCGTTTTCTAAACATATATATATATATATATATATATATATATATATACTTATATGATATATATATATATATGTATATTTATTTTTCATAAGTGCAGGATATATATATATATATATATTTATAAATTTTTAAAAGAATATATATACATATATATGAATATATGAATATAAGAATTAAAAATAAAATACAAAAATTCATTTTAAAGAGGATCAAAACTGAAACCATAATTCTTAATTATAATTTTATCAAAAATTTATCATTTTCCTATTCTTATAAATTTTAATAGAATTGCGAATTTGATTTCATAACACTTTGAAGAAAAAGAAAATTAAATTGGAAATATTGTGAAAATAATATTGAAATTTCATCCATTTCAAATTTCGCATAATAAAATTTAAAATAAAACTATATAAAATTAATAAAAATAAAAAAAAATAACTGCTTTTGATTAAATTAAAAAAACTAACAAATTTTCTTTAAAGTATAAATAAAAAAAAAACAACAGAAAGTGAAAAATTAACAAAAAAAAGAACTACTTTTGGAAAATGATCATGAATTTTCTTATTGTTTTTTCCCCGTTTAAAAATTTTTTATTAATGGCTGAACAAAAAAACAAGAAAATTTCTTAAATATTAGATACCTACAAAATCACGTAATCACTCAAAAAGTTTGCATGATATTTTTTTTCTTTTTTTTTCTATAATAAGGAATATTTATGATTTATATTTAAATTTATGTGCATATAATATTAATATGAATAGAAATTTGTATATATATATACTTAAATATGTACTTAAGTAGTCATTTCAATAATGATAATGAGAAAAAAGAAAATTTTATCATAAAAATATAATATTATTTAAAAAAAAAAATTAAGTGAAAATCCCAACGTTTCTTTTTTTTTTATTTGTCTTATTCTATACTTTCCAATTTGATGTTTGTTTTTGTTGTTTCCTTTAGTTTTTCTTTGGTTTTTTTTTTTGGAAGTGGAAAAAACAGATAGAATAAAATGATACATCTACATTTATATATATATAATTATATATATAATTATATATTAATGTAGATAGATATATACCGTAAATAGAAGCAAATAACATTTTGTATTATACATAAAAAGTAATATTATACACGATATATACATGCACATGTACATCATATGTATATTAAAAATTGTATAAATAATTTATATAAGTTATAGAATTATTTTTAAAATTATTGAAAAAAGTTTGTATAACAGTTTTGTATAACAGTTTTTATATAACAGTATCAGTATAATACTTTCCATTTTCTTTTTCAAATTTCCATATGAATTATCCTTTTTTTTCTTCATTAATTTTTTATATAATAATTTTAATTCTTTTCTCTGTGTTACTATTTTGTAAAATGTATTTTAATAGACCAAATTCATTATGTACATACCTTTTAAATTAAATTGTGAAACTAAAATTCATTAAATAATTGTAAATAATTTTTTTTTTATGTTCCATATAATAATTAATTTCTTTTTATTATAATTTTCGCATATAACTTTAAAATAATGCCATACTGTTATATAAGTTATGATATAACGGTTTAATTTAATTTTATGGGGCAAGGAAATTATATTTTATTAAAACAAAATCTAATTTATAATATAAAAATAATTTGATTTTCATAAAATATTTTCTTATGAATTATATTATTATTAATGTCGATCATAAATGAAGCTTTGCCGGACATTCAATTATATAAGAAACGAGAGAGAGAAAAAAAAGAATTTATTGCAAAAAGAAATTTCCAGAGTAGCAAAATTTCAATATAAAACTGATTATACTAATACATTTTGGACAATATTACATAATTCAAAGCACAGAAAAAATCAGTTTACATTTAAATAAACCGTACATGAATGAAAAAAAGTGTACTCTTATGTTAAAGGGTACCATGTTTATTTAAATATCAATTCCTCTTAAAATCCATTTCAAATATTTGAAATATTTAATACTTAAATAAAAAATTTTTAATTTTTCAAAATTAGTTTAATTTAACATTGTTCATTTTTAAGATTTTAAAGAAAATAAAATGATGAAAAGTTTTTTTTTCTTTCTTTTTTATCAATGATAAAAAAAGACGAATACATTTATTTGTTTGTATGTATGAGTAAATATGTAGTTAGTATAATTCCATACGTTCGTATTTGTGTATGTGTGTGTTGCTATCAAAAATAATATTATAACACACATATACACAAACTTTTAATATTTTACTTTTTTTATCTGTACTTTATTGTTGTTTTCTTTTTGTTTTTCTAATGTATGCGTGGGAGAATAAACTATATACTTATTATTGTAATGTGTACATTTATGTATTTATATGTGTATTAAATAATACCAAATATAATATTTATGCTTATCATAAAAAACTATAAATATATTTTATACATTTATGTTTATATAATATAAGTGTAAATGGATATATATCAGGTGTTTAAATGTGTCTGTAATATAATATTATATTTTACTTTTCAAAATGGCTGCGCGGTTTTACACCGATTTTTTCTTATATTTTAATAAATTTTTAATATGAAATATTTAAAAATTATATTGTGATAATTTGTTTAATTAAAAAAAAAATTCATATAATTTATTATAGTTAAAGAATTTTAAAATTTAAATAGTCATTTGACTTTAAAATTTAACTGAAAAAATTTTTTTTTTAGTTTTTTCCTCTTATACTTTCTTATTTGGAAAATAAAATAATTTTATAAAATTATTTTACGAAAAAATATTAATTAATAGTTTTTCTCTTATATTTTGGAATATTGTGGAAATTATGTAGATCATAAAAAACTAAGAAAATATATTTAAAATCAAAATTGAAAAAATTTTAAATATAAAATTTAACTGTTATAATTTATTACTTTTTGACAGAACAAATACATATACAAATTGGTACATGTCAGTTGTAAAATGTATAAAAGTTGTCAAAATTTTTTTAACTGTGAAAAAAATGGAATTCTTTGGTGAAAATTTTAAAATATGTTAAATAAAATTATAAAATTAATAATTTATTTAAATTTTACTTTAAACAAATTTCTATATTATTTATTTAAAAACGAATCTTGAAAATGTTTTTGATATACCATTAGAAAAGTCCCTCTGATATTTAAAAATAATTTGATTTTTATTAATAAATATGAAAGTGAATTGAAATTATTATTAAAGAAAACATAATAGCAAATTTCAAATAATAAAAATTAATGCATAATTAATGCATTGATAGTTATTATTTAATAAAACCAGTGTATTACAAAAAATATTTAATTTTAAATCTGTTTTATTTAAGAATATTGAACTGAAAAATTAATATATTTTCGCACAAGTAACTAGTTATTTAAAAATTAAAAAAAAAAAGAAAGTAAAATATGTAAAGTGTTATACAAATGTTATATAAAACAAAAAAGTAAATTTTCTAAAGAAACCTAATTGCATTTATTTCTATATTTATATATCAGTTTTCAAAATTCAAGGGAAAAAAAATATATAAGAAAAGTAAACAGATATTTGGAATATTTAAAATAAATACCTTTTTTGAAATAAAAAAAAAATATGTTAATTTTACAGAAAAATGAAAATTTTTATTAAATAATTAAAGAAAAACAAGTGAACTGATCAAATTTATAAATGAAATTATTAAAATAATAAAAAATAAAAAAATCAATAGAAGATTACATAAATAAAGAAATTATATACCATCCTGTTCGTTAATTAAAAAATTATGTTATTAATTAGATAATAATTAATTTTATTAATTATGATTAATTAATTAAAATTTTTTTCAGTGTAAAATATGAAATTTGTTTTTGTTCATAAATATTTAAATTTCATTTTGCCTTCTATTTTGGCAGAATTTAATATAATATAAATTAATAAAAAAAAAAAAAAACAAAAAATTTATATATCTAAATTTTCTAATTTCATATTTTGGATTAATATAGTTGCAAAAATCATTAAAAATTTAATATTAATAAAAAAAAATTGGAATCAAAAAGGATACATATTTAATATTTGTATTTGTTGCATAAAACTGTTTCAAACATTTATAATATAAATACATGTGTACTTCGAATTTTTTTCGTTCCGTAAGAGAAAATGATTACCTGTACTCTACCGGCCGTAAAAAGCGCGAAATCGGTTTAAAATATATTATTATTACATTATAAATTATCGTAACATTATATAAGCTAAGATACATGTATTTTAGAACATAGTTGTTATTTAAAAAAAAAAAAAAACAAAAAGATAATTGTAATAAAGTTAATTTAAAAAATTATTATTGTAGAAAAGGATTAAGCTAACCATAAAACGCACAAATTTTCAACAAGAAAATATTTAAAAAATTAAAAAATAAAAATTATTTTTTTTTTTCAAATATCGAATTAATTTCAATGAAAATTAAAAAGGGCAAATAATTAAATTCGAAAAAAATATCGAAAAGCATAATAATATTATTCTAAAAATTAAAACAAATTGTGCAAATATAAATCAAAATAAATAAAAAAACAAAAAACAAAAATAAAATAAGAACAAATTTTATTTAAAAAAAATGATGATGGGGCCATGAGCCCATCATATCCTCAAATCAATTGGAGTCGCAAGCGCGTCTCAAGCGGGCCTGCACCATGCTAGCACCGCCGAACCCGAGGTCAATATGCGGCCAGGACCCGGGCTGGTCGTGATGGCGCTTGCGTTTATTTCGGGGGCTCGGCGTGGCAGCAGCACCAGTCAAACATCTACGCAGTTATTAACAACAACAGCAACAACAACAACAGGAACAGCAACAACAACATCAACTATATTAACAACAACACAAGGTATAGATACAATTATACCATCGACAACTTCATCAATAATATCAACAATAAGGGATACATCTTCATCATATCCTATACCAACAACTATATCAACTACGTCAACATTCTCTTATCCAACGTCAACATCAACGGGAACAAGAATAAAAAAATTAAATTCAAAAACAACAATTCAAGCAACAACAATTGCAGAAGATATAAAATTTTCTGCAACAACATCAAGAAATTTAGAAACAACAAAAAATTATCATACAACTACTACAATTACATCAGATAACATTGGAAGTAGCAGCAGCAGTAGCAGCAGTAGCAGCAGCAGCAGTAGTAGTAGTAGTAGTAGTAGTAGTGGTAGTGGTAGTAGTAGTAATGAAATTTTTTCAAATAATAATAATTTCAATAATGATGAAGAATTTATAACAAATTATCCAAATAACTATAATTATAATAATAATTATTATAATAATAAATACGATAAAAGCCAAGAGCAAGAGCAACCAAATAATCCATCGAATTATTTTTATAATCCGCCATTTACGCCCAATAACCGTTATTATAATTCAAATAGTTATTATAATAATTTATTTATAAATAATTTATTTGAAGATACAAACTATAATAGCAAAAAATTGGGTTATAATAGTGAATATTTAAATAAAAATACCCATAATAGTAATAATAATAATAATAGCAAGAATAATAAGAAATTAGGTGGTTATACAAAAAGAAAAGAATTAAATAATATTATTGATTACGATAACAGTATCAGTATTGATGCTGCTGACAACAGTATTGATGATAGTAATGTTTTAATAGTTAATGATGGTTATAACAGTGAATTACTTAGTGAAAATAATTATAATGAAAATAATGCTAATATTAATAGCGAAAGTTTATTTAAAGAAAATCATCAACAGCATCAAAAGATTACAAATAATAATAATAATTATAATTTATACTTTAATCAAAATAATCAAAAATTTAATAACGAAGAAGAACAAGAACTGCAAGAACGACAAAACTATAATAACAAAAAACAAGAGCATTTGCAATTGCAAGAGCAGCAACAGCTACAACAAGAACAAGAAAAAGACTTGCAGCAATATAATAACCAGGAGAAGGAAGAAAAACAACAAAAACGAAATAATAATCAAGAATTTAATAAAAACATAAATGATAATAGTAATGACGAACTACAGTTAAAGCAAGAAGAACAGAAACAATATAGTTTAAAAAATTTAATTAAAGAAACTGAAGAAAAACAATTATTATTATCATCGTCATTATTATTAACTGAAGAAGTTAATTATAATCAATATACAAATAATCAAAAAAATAAAGACAATAGTGACGGTGGTGGTGGTCGTGGTGTTGTTGATAATACTGGAAGTGGTAACAGTATTGAATATAATAATATATTTGGTGAAGGTGATAATAATAACGATTTACAAAATAGTATTAGTACAACAGAACAAATTTCGGCGCCTTTGCGACGACTTAATCCTTGGTTATCTGCTTGCGATCTGGAACCAACAAATCAAACACCAGATCTACAGGTACTTATAATAATATTAAATAATTTTTTTTAATATAATATTATAAAGTGTTATAGGATTACAATTTAGAAATGCCTGAATCCTCTTTAACTTAAATTGGTTTGAAACATTGCCGTATTAGATCAGAATTTTGTTGACTATATCTCACAAATTACTGATTTTGCAGTAATAAGATTTCGAAAATATCATAGAAAAATTATAAGATTGTAATGTTAAATATAGTTTAAATTTTAAAGATTGTGTAAGTCTTTATGGTAGTCAAGATCATATTGCAAAGCAAATACATATTTTAGCTGATTTTGAGATTACATAAATTTAGAGCTACAGCCTGTTCCAAAAAAATTGACTCATATTTTTTATTCATAATTAAATTAATAAATTATATCAGATTTATTATTTTTAAGAAAAAGTTACAAGAGAGAGAGAGAGAGAATATTGGATTTTTGTTTTTAAATTTACTTTAAAAAACCCACGAATTTTCTCAGAAAGTTTTGTTTACAAAAACCCTCCATAGAAAATTTTCTTCAGTGCCTTATTGTGTTGCTAGTAGAGCCTGTTAAATGAGTTTAAAAATATATGTGAAAAATATTGTGCGAAAAGTGTCATAATGCACAACTCCGAAGTTGATCTTCTTTTTAAGATCCACTATATTTAGAAAATTGTCATAAAATAAATAATTTTGAAAATATCAGTTAAATAGTAAGTTATATTATATATAACATCATACAAATAAATTGGTTGGAGGCTATTTAGATTAAAATAAAAATATAAAATTATCAACAATATTTTAACTTAAAATGCGTTATCTTTATTTATTTATACACTCATTGTATAGTCCCATTTTTTTAATTGAGTTGAATCCAGTTTATTTTTTAATTAAAATGAGTCTTGACGTATAGATAATTTTAGAAACCCAAAGATTATTTCAATGTAAATGGGAAAACATAAATTTTCAACGTATATGTACACATATAATATAATAGTAAAAATTTTATAAATCAAACCCATGGTTTGTATAACATCGCCCTAAATAAATAATAGAAGAAATAATTGTATAGCTTCCTGAATTTTCATAATTTACAAATTAAAAATGATGGTTTCATGAAAGTTTCTCAAGAGCAGACTTTTATATGAAAGTTTCTCAAAAGCTAGCATGCTTTTTTTGGAGTTTTGTAAACCAACATACAGAATGAAACTGTAGGCGTATTTTCGTGAAATAATTTGCTGAATGCTATTAATTTAATGAATATTATTATAGAGTGCGCTGAATATCATTAATTTAATTACAGATTAATTTCAACTAAGTAGTTTAAAATTTAATGTCATGCAAAAATTAAGGCAATTATTTTAATTTTTTATTTTAATTACTAAACACTTGTGATATCAAAATATGAATGAATTTTTATAAAGTGTTATTATTAATATTATATATTTTGTAAGTGTTATCACAACAATAAATAGAGGTAATAAATCTTTCAACTTAAATTACCTAGATAATGTACAAATTAAAAACCGTAATTATACTCTAATAATTATCTCTTATATAGCTTCATAAATATATTAATTACCAAATTATAAATTTTGAAATATTCATAAAACTTCTGCTATACTAATATACATACATATTACATATTATACCAATACATTTCATGCTAATTAAACAACAATCTCCATGTGATTCATATCGTGTTTGTTTATATATTTTTATGTACATACATATGTAACAAACTATTCTCTTCGTTCAATCAATTGCAATTCACATTGTATACAGATAATATACAGAGTATATAGTATTTATCTAGCTACATATGTATATTTATGTCTCTATTTCAATTATGATGCATATTATACACCTTTGTTTTTACGACTAATGAGATATTCAATTTTCAATTTAAATAGAAAAATTTTTTTTTTTTTAATATTATTCTTTCCTCTTTATAAAATAGCCAATTTAAATCAATAAACTTATAATATACGTAACATTTTTATTATATTGTTTCAATAATGTATACATATGAACATATATATGATTATTATTACACCTTAAATTCTGTATACAAATACACTTATATAATACGAATTAAAATTCTTTTTTTGGTTCACGGAACTCATAATTATTATTTGTTGAATTTGTATTCTGTTCAAAACAATCTCTCTTCGAAAAATTAAAATATGTTCGTCCCACTAAATTTGCAGCTGGACCTTCAACACTTTTTAAACAATTATAAAAAATATCATCACATTTACAATGTAGTTTTGTAAATTGTGATGTATTTGTTATATTAAAACGTGTCTCTTTTCCACGTATTTTAACTGGACAAAAATCATGTGCACGACAGCAACGGTCCAATTCAGATCTCAGACCAAGATCATGATAACTTTTAGCTAAATTACTGCTACCACACCATTTTGTGCCGGGGAAAATTCCGCTTACAATATTTAATGTTTGTTTACTAAAAATTGTATTCTTTTTCTTTTTCAATGGTAAATCTATATTATCACAATGACTTATCAATTCATTCATTTCATCAAAAGTAATTGGTTTTGGTTCATCAATTATTAAACCAGTTAATTTATTAAATGTACTATTATCACTTATTGATACTAATTCACATCCAATTAGTGTATTTTCATCATCCCATTCTGTAAGTGCTGCTGTTCTTTCATGATATTGTACACGTAAATCTGAATCTACGCTAACACGTCTCTCACCGAAATTCTTTTTTGTTGATGATGCAGCTATTGTTGGATTTATTTTCAATAGTGTTGCAAAAATAATTGTTGTGAAACAGAAAGTGAATATTTTATCATGAAATTTTAATTGTGACATTTTAAGTCTTTTTTATTCCTTTTTCCTTTCAAAATTGTCAAAGCGCAATTTAATTTTTGCTAAAATTCGAAATATTTTCTTAAATGTCTGTTTAATGAAATTAACTATGTTGTTATCTACATATATGTAGTTTTGATTATTTTCTAATTTTGGCTTTTTATACTTTTATTTTTTAATTATCACATAATGAGTCATTGGAAAAAAATTAAAATATATACACTGTCCGATCACTTGCTTTGCTATATGATGTTAATGTGTAATGATATGATAATAAGATGCTTTCAATTCAAAGTAATGAATTAAACTGAAATTTTTACCGTATTTGTTGCTCTTTATACGAAAACGTAAAATGAGAAAAAGATTATAATAGTGGTTCTTTTCTTTTATTATTGTTAATCAGTATTTTTAGCGAATATAAAATTGAGTAGAAAAATAATACATAGTGTATTTAATTTGAATGTAAAATTATTCTCAATAATATTATTAATTATCACTCATTTATAAGATGTTTTCTAATTAAACTGTGAACTTTATCAATTAGTTGTTCTCTCTTGTCGTTGAAAAGTTTAACATTATTATGATGCTGAGTAATTTTTGATTTAATATGAAATGAAAAATTTAAATTGGATTTTTGTTTGGATCCAAATTTAAACTTTTTTTGTGAAAAGACCAGAAACTAGCTAATACGTATTTTGATAGCCTGAATTTGTTACTAAAAATTTTTTATTATTATTGTGTATTTCGATTGAATAATGTGATTAAATTTGGTTTGCGAATTAAATTTTGGTTTTTTGTCAGTCAAAAATTAAATATAAAAAATTCCGTCTAATCAGTAAAATATGAACTTTGAACTATTTTTTGTTTTATTGAATTCATTTTACGTTCATATAATGTATGTATTAAAATATCTATATGCAAATTCGCAAAAGCAGTAAAGCAAAATTTTTTCTGAAGTCAGTCTTATTAAAGCGAAACATGTTTTTAATACTCTATTATAAACTGTATTCTATTATAGAGGACACTGTGGTCGCCTGTTTTGATATAAAAGTGAACTGGAAATATTTAATTGATTATATCAAAATTATACGTAGATATGTAAAATCTGTTCAGATCGTACGTTTGAATTAATAATTTGAATTATTTATTTGAATTTTATATGCTTTAACATTTTCATCCCGCTTCCTCTCCCATACAACTTCTATCTATTGATGGATTGAGTGGAAGATAGATATTGAGAGGAAGTGAGATATTCAGAGGAAGAGAGATATTGAGAGGAAGAGAGATCACTTCTATGTTTTGATTGAAGTTGGATTGGAGGGGGAACAAATAAATATGCGATTCAGAAGAAATAATATCTCCACTAATATGTATATGTGGTCAAAATTTCATCTTTTTATTGGTAAAAGGTATTGATTATTGGTTTGCCGATATACCCTTTATAATTTTTAAATTTTGAATTTTGAAGTAAATCTAAATAATAATTTTTTAGCTTATTAAATAATTTTAAGCTTATGAAAAACAAATCCTGTCTAAGAGTGACATTAAATTGAATTTCGGTTTTTTTAACTTTTGAATTCAGAAAGCAATGTCCACAGTCATTTTCTGAATAAATTTTGTTCAAGGTCATTGTCTAAGTAAATTTGCTACTAAAAATATATTCCACTTACCTATACATATATATTTTCATATATACTTGTATTAAAATGTAATATTGCATACGTATAATTATTTGTATATATATACATATAATATTACAAAAAGGATTCCCCTACAAAAAAATTCCCTATTTTTGTTTATAAAATTATATTAATTCTTTTTTCTCAACCACAATTGAACTAAAAAAAAATAACTTTCTTAACTTTGAAATCTATAAGAAAACTTTACACTTTTGCGATTATGCAAAATATATGTAAGTACAGTCGAAGCTAAATAAGAAGTACCGGGTAAGAGGACAACCTCTTTAAATGAAATTATTTTTCTGGTCCCTTAAATTTTCTAACAAAATCGCATTCTATAAGAGGAATTCCCATACATTCTATAGAAGTGCAATAATTTTTTGAAAATTCTGCGCACTAATTCAGTACATTTTTTACTCTATAGAAAAAATGTCTTTACGTTTACCGCTTTAAATGGAGTTTACCTTCTTATAATGGTTCACTGCTATTTGGTTAAAAATTGCTCTTGAAAAATGTTGCTAAGTATTTGTGTGAGTTTTGCTCACAATTTGGTTTTCGTACAATTTCGTTTTTCTAAAATTCTACCAGGTTTCAGAAAAGCCTCTTTAAGCGGAAAAATCAATTTTTTAACAAGTTACGTAATTAGAAAATATTTAATCGCTTTTATGTGGTTAAAATTTTAATTGCTAATATTTTAACAGTTTTAACTTTTCGGCTAATTACTTCTCGATTTACTTAAGTTGTTTAAAATTCAATTAATGAGAATAATTTTCAGCACTTTTCCAAAAAAAAATTTGAAAAAAATTGCTTATTAATTTCACTCTGTCCAAATGTCCTTGGACCCGTAAGGTGGCCGTTAAAATTTACCGTTATCTAAAATACTAACAAATAGATCATTTTGTTTGAAAAAAAGTTTTTTCTCCAATACTACCCCCTCTCAAGTTATCGCCTCACGAAACCTCTAAAATTTGAATTTTTGATACCTTATACGTATTTCCGTAACTGCAAGTTTTTCCAAATTTCTATAAATGCAGAATGCTAAAGGTAATCTCCATGCCATTAAAATATGTAACTTATTTTCTTAACTCACGTAATTAACCCTTAAATTCGAGCATTACATCAACGCGTCTTTAAATTTTTTTGTTTTATTTCAAAGAGTGCGCCCAATCCTCATTCTAAAGGTATGCAATTTTTGAATGTATTCCTATATGAATGAAAGTAATTTTGGTAATGGAGTACATAGTCAGATTGTTTTTAAAAGCAGTATTTTCATTTGTTGAAGGGAGAAGAGTGCTACATTACAAATTATTGGTTTGACCGAACTTTCATTCTTTATTAATTTTCGCGAAGTAAATAAATGATGTTTATTAGGCGTGGAATTCATTCGTTAAGAACATATCAAGAGTTTCATTTTAGAATTATTTAAAATTAATGATGATCGCAAGTATTTAATTTTTCATATACATATCTAGTCATTATTTATAGTTTAGAATGCTTTATGCATTCAAAGTAAAAAAAAATTATTATTAATTAGAAATTAGGGAGATAGTTTAGAAACACTTAAAACATTTTATACTTTGTATAATAATTAAAAATTTTTATGGCATAATAATTTTAATTTCAATGCATAAAATTTCCACCTTTTTTACAATATAATTACCATACTTTATAAACTATTATTTAATGTGACTTTAATATTAAAAATAATTTTTTTGTAATAAAAATCATTGAAATAAATTTTTTAATATAAAATATTTCGGCTTTTTGAAAGTGTAAGCAAAAAAAAAAAATTACAAAATAAAAATCCTTTGAAAAAATTTTTTTATAATTCACAATGGTTTTTTTTTGTCCCATTTTTTTTTTAAACAATAAAATTAGTACTGCGCCTATTAACAGAAATGATTGTAAAATTGTTAAAAGAAAAAACAATAACAATTACTGTAATAATATAAAAAATTTTTTTTCCTCATTTTTTTGTAAAAAATTAAAAAATATTACTTTAGAATCCGAAATATTTTATAGTACAAAGGAATAAATTTTATTATAATTAAATTAATATACATATGTACAAAATATATATGTACATAATATATATGTCTACATGAATATTCAATTCATAAGTATAGTTTAAAAATCCTTTACTTAAACAGAAAAAATTTCTCTCGAGGAATAAAAACAATTTTGGAAATAAAAAATTTATTTTTTATACCCTGCACCTTCCTGAAGAGTATATTAACTCTGGTTCTGTAAAATGTTGCGTTGATCTAGGTATAGCCGTGCGTCTGATTATATGGTAAATCAAAAACGAATAAAATAAACTTCAGTAAGCTTTCACAACTGAAAACTAATGTTAAATATTTCAAAAATTAGTACTCAGGTTTTCGAGGTGGAGGGTGTAATTAAATCGGTTCAGACCGACTGAAACATTTTTATTTGTTTTCTCTTTATTTTTCCATTCTTTAAAATTTTCTGTTTTCTGGTAATTTTATTATTATTGTAGTTTTATAGAATTTTTTTAAAAATTTCACTAAACTAATTAAGAGTATAATATGCATAATATAATATGTATGTATATTATAATTATACATATTTCATAAATATGAAAAAATATAAGGTGTTCCGTTCGCAATGTGATTAATTTCAATTAAAATATGGATTTTAATTATAAATGAAAGATAACAATTCGGATTTCAATTATGATTTCTTAAATTCTTTCTAAATTTTAACTATAATTAAAGTATAGATTTATCAATTTGGTTATATTTGAGTAAATCACCACATCTATAAAGTGGACTTGGAAAATTTTTAGTTTGAGAAATAATGCAATTAAAATAAGACACTTGGTTCTTGAGAAATTACGCTGCCTAAATTTCGGGAATGTCTGAAGTTGTTCAATTAATTTGGAAAATTAAATTGAAAATTTGTAATATGCATAAGTTTTCAATAAGTTGTCTTATTATACCTTTTCCTTTTAGGATTACTTCTTGCAAATAAAAAGTAAGATTAATTATATAGGGCAGTAAAATGAGTCTTAAGAGCAGTAGTAAACTTATGTAAGCACTCAGTGGAAATTAAGCTGTTTCCGAAAAGTGAATGTAAATTGGATTTTGTTCCCAAGTACTAGAATTCTGATTTTAACCACCCTGTTTAAACATAGTATTTTTAATTGCATACATTTATATTTCATTCAATTTATTTATACCTGCATATTGTAAAATATCAAATTAAATTCGAAAAAAATATCCTAGATAATATTTTATCTACATACATAAAATATAATAAATTATATCATAAATATTGTATTACTAGGTAATAATAATTCTTTTAATTATTTCCACAA